AATTAAAAACACTTATCATTTATTGAACAATCTGTAATATTTTCATATTTAAAGTACTTTCAGAAGTTTGAATTCTGAATATGAGCGGACTTTTCCGTTAATGTTCAATATGGGCTTTAGAAAGGCATAATTCCCAGAACCCTAGAGATCCTAAGGACATGCTCAAGAGCTGCTTTAGCCATCTGATACAGACAAACCTAAAACATGCTGGGGACTGCAGTGTAGTCTCAGTTTTTCTAGGTTTCTAGATTCCTTTGTAAACAAACCTACAAACCTTAAATTAAAGGATTAATAAACTATTTCCAGGACCTTCAGAACCTGAGAACCCTTTAGAACCCTTAAAATAAGCTCCAACAACTTGCAGAGTCATTAGCTGGTTAGAAGGTGCCCAGATTGTTTCTTGTTAAGAACCGATAATCTGTGTGGTCCACTTGATCATTCTAGTGTATCTAGTTACAACATTTAAACCAGTTCTAATACCATATATCACTTCCATAAAGGCAATGCCCCAAGACTTTTCGGAATCTTCTAAATAAAACCAATAACTAAGCACAGAACCTTCTGCAGCCGCTATAGAACCGTCTTCTGGTGCTCATGATGTATCTGTGTGGTTCAGGTTGGTTTTGCAGGGACGGCCTGTGAGGACTGTGAACCTGGACGTTACGGACCCACCTGCAGCTCAGGTACCACACTGGAAAAAATATCAAGAAATAAGTGAAACATGTCATATATTAAGAGTATTTACCCTCAATTTGAGTAGTTAAATGGGATAGTTTGCCAATGGGACTATTTCCAAAAGATAATTGGATACTATGCACTTGAAATAAGACAATGGAATTGTATTTTCTTATTTTAAATGTAAATTGTCTTGTTCCATTGGCAAAATGTCTAATTTTCCTCCTCAATTCAAGAAAAAATGCACTTGTTTTAAGAAAAAAGATATACATTTTTTGCAATGCATTGGATCCTAATGTCCTGACATCAGTCAGTCCTGTCAGAGATCGTCACATGATGTTTTTTGTGTTTTTGGTCTCAGAATGCAAATGTGTCCATGGCCTCTGTTCTTCTGGACTGAAAGGTGACGGCCGCTGCACCTGCTTCTCTGGGTACAAAGGTCCCAGTTGTGACCAGGGTGAGTTCCTCTGCTGTAGCCACACCTGGACCCAGTGTATCATTAGAACGCTGAAGTTGATGGTTCCTCCTATCTGACCCGATCCCCGTCTTGCCTTTCAGAGTTACCAGAATGTGCAGCCCTTGGCTGCCAGCAGAACTCTCGCTGTATGGAGGAAGCTCTGTCAGGGAGACTGGTGTGCCAATGTTTGCCCGGCTTTGAAAAATCCGGAGCTCAGTGTTTATGTGAGTTCAAACATCTGAGAATTAAACCACATCCTGGTCTTCAGACCCAGAAATCTGTCAGCTTGATCTTCTTAGCAGGTTTCTAAAATCAAGATTCTGTGTTAACTCAGAAAGCCTGCAGCCATAATTAGTTTTTAGAACCCTAGAGGGTTCATTTACCTGGGGAACCATCTCATGCTGAGGAGGGTGCTACTAGGAAGAGGATGAGCTTCTAGGAAAAGAACAGACTGGAACTATACAGGAAAACCAAGGAGCATAGCTACGTTCACTGATTAGTGTTCCATCTGATCGGCTTCCAGTCGTCCTGCATCTTGGGATGGTCCATGTGAGAGCTTACTTCTTTGAAAGAGTGGACCTCCCCATATTTGCTCCAAAACACCAACATGGAACAGGGATCCACACTTTCTTCAGGAGACGTTTCTTTCTACCATCCAGGACCAGCTTTGTGATGATATGTTGATTTTCCAGCATGACAGAGCTTTGGATCAGAACATGTCCAAATTGGGCCTGTGGTCGGTTCTAAAACAGAGACGGACAAGACAGGAGCCAACAAACAGGGATCTTCTCAAGGAAGTGATCTCAGTCAGCCAAAACTCTGTCTGGAAGCTATCTAATGGAGCAGAGAGAACTCCATAAGCCTTAAAGAACAAGGAGAACAAGCAAACTTTGTTTCATCACCAGAACCACAGAGAACCAGAACCAGGAGCTTTCCTTAAAGGATCTGCTCATGGTCTTCACTTCTTCTCCACCAACAATGCTATTTCTCTCCTCCACAGCCAAAAACCCATGCCTCCAGCGGGTCTGCCATGCTCAGGCTTCCTGCCTCCATACTGGACCGAACCAGCACCTCTGTGCCTGCAACAAAGGCTACACCGGTGATGGACGGATCTGCATGCCAGTCAACCCGTGTCAGACCAAAAACGGAGGATGCTCCCCAGAGTCTGCCAACTGTGTCTATGATGGACCGGGACAGGTAAAAAGAACCCAGGCCCATCCAAATTAGGGACAGAATCATACTCACTACTGCAGATCAGGTGGGTTGAACGGATCAGGGTCAGAATCAGGAGACCAGGGTCAGAACTGAAGAGGGAGGAAGAACCTTAGCATTGGGATCAAACTCAAGATGAAGGATCTTTAACTGGTTTAAGTGATGTAATGGAGGTTACAGCCTGCAAGGGGCAGCGTTAATCCGTTTTGCTTTCTTTCAGTCTCACTGCGAGTGTCTACAAGGCTTTAAAAAGCTGGCAGATGGCAGCTGCAACCTGAAGGACATCTGCAAACCCAACTCCTGCCACCAGAACGCCAACTGCACCACAGTGGGACCGGATCAAGTCGAGTCAGTCCCTCCTACCTGCTTCCACCTCAGTTTCACCCGCTTTCACACCTTCAGATCCACCTGAATGTCCTGCCGCTCTGTGTCTCAGGTGCACTTGTCTCCAAGGATACATTGGGAATGGTAAGGTGTGTTTTGGGAACATCATGGAGCGTCTGAGGGAGCTGAACACGCAGCCTGGGGAGGAGTTGAGCGGACAGCTCAGCAATGCCATCTCTCTGTTTGGTAATTGTCTTTATGTTTTGCAGTATTTAATATTATTTATAAAATGTGAAAAAAGTGTAGCTCTTGATCCAGAAGCTGTGATGTTCACAGGTTCTGGTTCCAACTAGTGTTGCGCCGATGCCATTTTTTGGCCCCGATACCGATACCCGATACCTGGCTGTGCAGTATCGGCCGATACCGATACTATAATAATGTAAAATAATTGCCATCAGGGCTTTGTCAAGCTGCTTCCTACCTTTGTGAAGCAGGAAAAAATCTAATACAAAGTGAATCCAGTAGAACGTTTTATTGCCTACCAGGAATGGGTGACAATAGTTGAATAAACTTATGGCTCTCAAAATGGTATCGGTGCCTTATTTGCTGGTACTCGCCGATACCGATACCACCATTTTAGGGCAGTATCGGGGGCCCGTCCGATACTGGTATCGGTATAGGTGCAACACTAGTTCCAACCAAAACATTCATGAGTCAGTCTCAATCCTGTGTAAATTTGAACCACAGGTCTGGTTGATATAGTACCATTTCCTGCTGGTTTAGCCAGATGATTGGCACTGAAGCAGACATACAGTCTAGATGCTGTTGATATCAGAACCTGATATTGTTTGATTTCAGATTCTTTCTCGTGGCCTCTGCAGAATTTGGGCCCTTTTACAGTATTTGTTCCCATCAATACAGGCTTCAGAGGGGTTAACGTGAGTTTGAAATCCATTAACTAAACCGAATTTTGGGAAACAATTTTTCATTTTTTTCTAATGTCTTGTTTTCCTGTTTTCTCCAGATAAGGTCTCTGACTACAGACTCATCTAGAGTCAATTACCTGATTAAAATGCACCTGATTGCTGGTTTAATGCCGTCCTCCACTATGAAGAAAACCCATGTCTTCTACACGCTGTCAGGAAAATCAGGAGAGACGCAGACATCACCTATGGTGAGGATGGGAATGACAATGCAGGAAATTCTAAAAGTAATCATTCAAAACATCATATAGAAGTTTGTTGAGTTTAAAAACACCAAATCTGTTCTTTCTACTTGTGTTAGTGGTTGTTTACAATCCATTATCCAATAATTACCATATTACCAGTTTAAGTCCATGAGGCAGAAACCCTGTGTACTTTTAGGGCTAGGCTTAAAACTTTCCTTACTCATAAAGCTTATAGTTAGAGTGGCTCAGGTTATC